TACACAGTCTTCTGAGCAGTGTACTGGAATCTCAGGCTGCCCAGCAGATCTGCGCAGGTCATCAACCATCCTTTTGTTCTGCTGTATCTGCTACCTGCCTGCTAGTCTCAGCTGTCTGATGGACTAGTATGGCATTGGAGGGTATGTGCTCAAATAACCAGTCACAGAATCCCAATTTTCTTTCAGCAACCATATCATTAGAGGAGTGAATACAACGTATTCTGACAAATGCCTGATGCTCACATAACTTGTACTATAGTATGGTGTAACTATTCAATTTTATTGGTTATTATTAATCTCTTAATGTGCCTAATTTATAAACCCCACCATATGGATGCAAACATAAGAAAACAGTAAATGTAGTGTTTAAGGCTCTGTCTATTGTGTTTTCAGGATAGTGATTTTGGAAAGAAAACATTTCTGACTTCATATTCAAGGGACAAGCACACCTTTATCAAGAACACAGCACACTTAGTAGCCTTTGGGCTGTCAGAACAAAACAGGACAGACTGGGTAGCTCAAAAAATGATTTACTCCTGCTTCTACCATGTCCAATATCAGGGTTCTAGCACAGTCTACCTTTTTGCTCTATCTGTCCCCACACAAGAAGGGGAAGAAAGTGTCTCTTAGATGAGCACTAATCCCCTTGTGAGGGCTCCACTTTCATCACCTCATCTACACCTAAGTGGGTGCTAAAGGCTCCATCTCCAAATATAGGTTTGGGCTTCAACAGGTGGCTTCCAGGGGAGTAAGGCCCAGTTTATGCACATCTGTGTCTATCTGGTATCCTATGATAGCTCCATGTATGAAAATATGCAGTAACAATATAATGTGGGCCCAGAGCTCAATTAGACTAAGTTGAGAGAACTTAGAAGTTCACTGAATAATGTCAATTGTAAAGGTCATCTCCAGGCCAGGCTTAAGGGCTAAATATGTACTGTTATTATTTTCTTCAACAAACATAATCTGGCAACTTGTGTTATAGGCTCAGATAGTGTGTCCATTTATGAAATAATACAATCCATACTTTCCAAAATGTGCTGTCATACAAAACATCTTAAAGTAGCTGGAGAGATGGCTCAGTGGTTAAGTGAACTTGCTGCTCTTCCAGGGGACCTAGGTTCAATTCCCAGAACCCCTGTTGGGTGGCTCACAGTTGTCTATAACTCCAGCTCCAGGGAAAGCAACATCTGTTTCTGAATTCTACAGGCACCCACACATTTGTGGCAGAAACATGCACAGACATACACCTACATGTAAATAAATGTAATAAGAACAAATCTTTAAAAAAAAACAAATCTTTAAAACAATTGAAAAAGTGCTATGCCATGTGTTAAACATTGCTTTGGTAAATGATTTTTTTTTTTTTTTGCCTATCAAATTTGTAGATAATACAGAAATTAAACTTACTAACAGTCTTTATAGCATATCAACACAAATGTGCATGTGTGTGTTCATTTTACCTTCTGTGTGAACAATCTGACACAGTACCCTCCTAAGCTCAAGGAAGACCAAACTGAAAGGCTGTTATATCAGAGCCATGTTAGCAAGAAGGAAATCTCGTCTTGTAGCAACCGTACCTGTTCAGTTCGTTCCTTATGTCCAGCAGTTCCTGTTGCTCAGTTTTCACTGTCTCTTTCTCCTCGGCAGCCAGGTAACGCAGTCGCATCTGCTCCAACTCCTCTTGCTGTTTTTTAAGGCGAGCCATTTGGCTTTCTTGCTCCCTCTTAAAAGAAATGGAAGAACTGACATGTACCACCGGGAATGCGCCCATTTCTATGACTTGGACTTGAGACTATGGGACAGTACTTGGACAATTCTGGGCCAAATGATATTTAGAAAAGACCCACTTTTCTCATGATAATCTTTTTATTCCCTCTCTCTTTTTGACATCATAACTTATGATCAACGAAGAAGGGGGTTTGCTGAACAGTTATAAGAACTGTGAGGCAAGAGCAGCTTCTTTGGAGGAATCTGCATTTTAAAAAATTAACAATTCTTCCAGAGAGGGAGATAAAAGATGAATATGACACTCTTCAGGATGAAGCTATTCCATGACTTATAAGAGAAAATCCATGGTAAGAGTGCTGCAGTGAGAACCCGTACAATGTAACCTGGAGCTTCTAAATCCCCCCATGTATTTCTCTATATATGAGGGATAGTCTTTCTTTAGGGCAGAACTTCAAAGAGACAGCAGGGTGGTGTGTGTGTGTGTGTGTGTGTGTGTGTGTGTGTGTGTGTGTGTGTGTACTTATTGTTGTTTGAGAAAGGATATGACTATGTAGCCCTGGCTGGCCTGGAACTGAAAGAGATCTGACTGCCTCTGCCTTCTGAGCACTGGAATTAAAGGTGTGTGCTACCATGCCCAGTTCATGTTTTCTTTCTTTTTTCGAACTAAATTATTTTCTGATTATAGCAAACAGAAAATTGACTAAATGCAAGGGATATTTTGCTAAATTGTTACAATGTAAATCACACACATAAAAGGTTACCATAACTCCTGAGTCTGCTCTCCCTCATGACACCTACTCCCAGTCACACTAGCTTATCTATAAAGTTCTTACTAAAATATCTGAGGTTTTTATCTCTGTGGCTGTTTAGCTTATTTGTGTTAGATTTCAAAGATTTCCCATTACTCTATTTTGCCTTTTCACCCTTTCAGCAGTATTTTGGGATGAACAGAATTCCTTCATCTCAACATAGCCCACATGGTTCCATCAATTCCTTTCTAGCAGGCCCTCTTTGTTTTTTGACATGCATCAGTCTTGAAGATACTATTTTTACATTTATTTATATGTGCATGTGTGTGGGTATCCATGGAGGCCAGGCCAAGCTGTTGGATCTCTTGAACCTAGAAATACAGGCTGCTGTGAGGCACCCGATATGGGTGCTAGGAACCAAACTTGGTCTTCTGGAACAGCAGCAAGTGCTCCTAACCACTGAGTCATTTCTCCATCCTGGACTATTCTTTTATAGTACCTTCTGAAAGCATCATTTAGATCAGTAGGACTATAACTGACTTTGGGTCCAATGTTGGCAGGATCACCTCTGCCATGTGCTGAGGACATGTTTGTGGATGCACTGAACTGACCTGCTTCCTACCTGTGCATTAACACCACACTGCTTGACTCCAGTGTCTGAGAAAAGTCCATCTCAGTATCTGTCAGGCTAAGTAATCTACCTCTGGCAGTCTTCAAAATTTAGTTCTTCCTGTTTCTAAATTTTCACACAAATAACTGTTTCTAGAAAGAAAAATCAAGAACAAAAGCCTTTTGGATTTATGTTACGATGAAGCTAAGATTAACTCTGCCTCATTCTGTGGGTTTTCACAGCACTGACAACTAATGACGTGGTTTACAACTAAGTTTGGGCGCTTTTTACTTCTGTTTGGTGAGTCTCTATGGCTCTCTATGTGCTAAGAACAATAACTTAAACTACACTTCTTTTTGATTATAGATGCTTCTAAAGCCAGAGGTTTTACATTTATTTTGCTGTCTAATGTTCTCTGTTGAAAAAACTGATTTTTGATACAGTCCCAGAACACTTGGTTAACTTAGCTACTTCTGATAGAAGACCAAAAACTATGCACAGAGACCCTTACATACCAGTGACTCCTGAATTAGTCTTTGATTTCACAATGCTATAGGAGACACATAGTACTTGTGACTTGGGGGCAGCTACTTGCCTCATTCTCAGGATCATGAGGGTAAATAACCAATATACTCCACGGCACAGTGTTGCCAAGCTGTGATATTAGCAGGTGCACAACAACTGACCTACAGTATTTTCCACTTAGGATGAGTTTGTCTATTTTTGTACATGCTAGGTAAGGCGCATACCATCCCTTCTGTATCCCTAGCTCTCTTACTTAAGACAATGGAACATTTCTAACATAATGTCAGTAGAAAATGGAGTTCTCAGGGGAAATTCAAAGTTTAAAGAAAGCTTTTTGTAGATTTAATGTAAACACTTGTTATTAAATTAAGAAATGTCCCTTTGTTCTTAGTTTAGTACATATTATTGTGAATGTCCGTGGATTCTTTCTACATCTCCTCATATGATCTTATGACTTTACCTCCTATATTGTCTTGTATTTTTAAAGACAGGGTCTCTCTATGTAGTCCTGGCTGGTCAAGGACTCACAGAGATTCGCCTGCCTCTGCCTCCCAAGTGCTGAGATTAAAGGTGTGCGCCACCCTCCTGTATTGTTCTTAAGTAGAAAATCACCTCTTTGTTTAGTGAGCAACCCAGGGTGTGACCCTTCCAGGTTTTGTACCTATTTGAGACTAACTGGCTAGTTTTGCTTTTGTAATTTCTATATATAGATTAACTTTAAGATTTACAACATGGCTATTATGCTGTGGTCTTTTATAAAAGAAGATATTTTTCAAATAGTCTGTGGGGTTAGGGTTATTTTCACACTGTTCACTTATATTCAAATGTCAAGTATTTTTTTCTGTATATATTACTATTACAATTTTCCTAACAGCTGTATGATTATTTTTAATTCCTGAGCCACTTTTGTAGGTTGTTTATCAGATTCACATGTAGTTATTCATAGTGTCCTAATCTCTTCATATGCTGGGAGGATCTGGAGTCCTCTTTCTCTTGAACATTCTGTTACTGATAGGGAGCCTCTCGTTTCTACAGACTTCCTCTCAAAGAAACAGCTTTTGGCTTTGAGCATGCGTGTTTATGTGCTTGTATAAGGAGGTAAACCTGGGATGTTATTCTGGTACCTTGATTTTGAGCTGATACTGAGACTTGGGGCTCACTGATCTAACTGGTTGGTGTGGGACAAGGACCTGACTGTCTCTGCTTCCCCAGTGCTGGGATTACAAGCACATGCTAGCTACCATACCAGGGTTTTATATGGGGGATGGGGTTCAAAAGCAGGTCCTCATGCATGGAGGGTACTTTACTGAATGAGCTATCTCCCTAGCTCTGTCTAGAAAACAGACACTTCTTTGGTTAAAATTTTTCTCTAAGCACATTTTCCCCACAAAGTTCCTGATGTTATATACTGCATTTTATTTTATTGCATTTTTTATTATTTTGATTTCAAGTATTTTCTAATCTTACTACTGTCTTGAATTTACAATGAGTTATTAGAGGTAAACTACTTAAGAAATGCCCCCATGTAATTGAATTTTACTAAAGTTTCCAGCTCAGTATCCCTGTGAGCAGGGCATGTTCTAAACTATAATCTCTTCGAGTCGAGGCCAGCCTGGTCTATAGAGCAAGGTCCAGGATACCCTGTGTTGTTACACAGAAAAACCTTGTCTCTAAAAACAAAAAAACAAACAAAAGGTCACCTGCTACTCTTAACCACGCTCAGTGGAAGTGTGCGCCTATCTACCACTCCCAAGCACAGCCTTCAATAAGCTGCTTTGCCTTGGGGCAGTTTTATTACAATGCTTGTAAGCATGGCTTCCTATGCATTCAAAGATCTCCTTGGATATACAAGGAGATTTTATATACACACACATATATAAATGTATGTATGTATGTATGTATGCTTACACATGAAGACATTTCCCCAGCCCTTAATCTCTATGCTCTTTCTTTGCTGTAATCACTATCTTTATTTCCCCTATTTCAGTCTTAATAATTTATATTACCCTATCTTCTAATTACCATATCCACTTTCTGTTATGTTTACAATCTGCTCTTAACTCTTCTGTTTAGTTCTTAATTTCACTTACAATACTTTCTTTCAAGAATGTCTACTTTTTCCATTGTGTTACCTATTTTCTAGAGCACAGTAATTATAGTATTTTAGACTTCTTGTCTGATGACTGCAAAATCTAGATTACTTGATATATTTCTATCAAACAAATGATAACCAGTTTTCCACTAATGAGGACTACTGTGGCCAACAAGCATATAAAAAGGATGCTAAAAGTCATCAGTGAGTAAGAGAAAACTGAAATCACAAAATAATACTATTTCAACTTTAATATCATAGTGAAATTTTGAAGACGTCTAATAGTAGGTACATACAGGCAACAGCATGAGAAGTTACTGTGTTCTGCTGTGTGCTGGTTTTTTTGGTACCGGGCCTTGAGCTTGCCTTACACATACACATTAGGCAAGTACTCTCCCCATGCCACATCTGCAGTCCCATACAACTGCTGGAAAGTTAAAATTAGCACAGCCACTTCAGGAAATAATGGAGCAACATTTAGTAAAGCTTAAAAACGTGAATGTATTCTTCTAGTATCTGAAATTCAATTGGACACTGTTACTTATATGAGAACCATTCAGGACCGCCTTACCATAAGAAAACCTGTAAAAAGCAGTTTCACTTAAGACTATGTATAAAACCTACATGACTGTGGCACCCTCATGAATGGCTATTCCATGGTACTATATCATGAAAATAAATAATACTACTTACAAAGGTTTTTAGAATTTCAAAATTGCCCAGTGCTAGGCATTAAACATGGCTGCCCAAAGATGCTAGGCAATCACTTTACCAGTTTATTCCAGTTCTTTTACCTCATTTTGTGTATGACTGCCTATGCAGAGATGACAGAAGAGGCTGGGTATGCTCTGTCACTCTCCTCCTTACAGCCTTGAGACAGAGGCAGTCACTCACTGGGGCAAGGTCTCACTAAAGTGCCCAGGCTGGCCTTGCATTCATCTTCCCGCCTCATCCTCATGAGGAGCTGAGATTACAGCTCTATGCCACCAGGCTTACCTGGGTATATTTTTAAAAATGTT